GCAGTTGGTGGCAAGAACAGGGTCAAACTGAAAAACTGTAAATGAAGTCGCGAATCTCGTATAATTTAATCTCCAGTCACCTACTCATTCAAAGGTTATGCCCTCCAGTCTACTGACGATACCCTGACAACACACAGGCAAAGAGGGTGTAGGCTACTAGGGCGACACACAAATTCTCGAGGCTCTGTTGACCAGTCTAAACCCCTACAAACCCCTATACCTGCACGCACACACTGACACAGGCAAGCACATTACGTTCATGAGAAAGACAACAATGAGGGTGTGAGTAACAAGTATTGCAACAAAGACAACCCTTGACCCCAGGCTTAGGGTTTAGCATTTTTACGACAAGCATCTAAAAATCTCAACCCTAGATGCTGGACTAACCAAACTCAGGAACTGTAGGCAACAATGCAAAATCATATCCTTCAGAAACTCGAACCTGAAGCCCCAAAACTACAACCTGAACCCAAGACCGGACAAACCTGGATCCTCTGCCCCTCTCCTACCTGCAAGAAGAGCACAACGGCTATGAAGGCCTGACATGAAATCTACAGATGTTCAGGCTTTGGTTCTTCTTGCTACGGGCCCTCTAGTCTAACGGGTCTGTAGGAATGGGTCAGTGTACGATGTCGTGGTTGAGAGCTTTCGAGTCCCAAGTCTCTTGGATCTTTGAGTTTGAGGATGTAAGATTGAAACGGCTAGGGGTCATGCTCGTGATGGACGGAGTGCTTGGAGCGGATGCCTTAGGGCCTAACGCATGTAGAAGCCTTTATAGAGCCCTTATGGAATCGAAATAATACCTATCCCGACCCTGCCTATGCCAATTTTCGTCTGAGACTCAGGTGTAAATGCTTTTCAACATAGGCTAGGGCTTGGAGAACCGATGGTGTTTCAGCACATGTTGCAGGATCTGGTGCTTCTGCAAACCACGAGGTAAGTATGTAAGTATGTACAAATGTTTGTATGTATGTATGTATGTAAGCAGGTATTTACGCATATCGCTTGTACGTATGTATGTATGCACGTCTGCATGCATGGGTGTGCAGGCATGCATGTGTATGACATGTAAATGAACATAGGGCTTCCAGCGCGGAACTTTCCCGCTGCGCTTCGCATTGTCGGCTTTAGGCGGGCTCCATACAGGCCATGTATGTGTATGTATGTGTAAGAACATGCTTGTACATATGTGCATATATACATGTATGCTTAGGTATACGAATATGCAGGTATATGTGCATGCGTCAGGTGTTTACATGCGTGTGCATATGTACATGGATAACTACGTGCATGTGCACTTGTATGCATATGTCTACTTGAAGGGAAACTTGTACAAATGAAGATATGTACCTCAATACGCAGGTGTATGTGCGATGAAATCTTAGTATGTGCATAAGTTATGCTTCTCATATGTAACTAAGTGTGTCAGCATATGTGCGCGCATATCCATGTGTGCATCTGCATCTCTATGTCTATATATACAAGTCTACCCACACATATACATATAGCTATATATGCAGACACCTGAATATACCTATATGCATATATACATATGTGCCATACATAGGACTGTATATCCACATGTCTGTGCACCTAATACCTAAATATCTGAATGTCAGTTTATCTATGTATCTTCATGTCTGTAGCGGGTAAAACATTTCGTATGTATATACAAAGATCTATCTGTATATATATGTACCTGTATATCTAAACAGATACATACCTAGATATCTCTGTGGCTTTATATCTGCTAGCCTTCATATCTGTATATCTACATATCTGCGATCTGCATACCCATATGCTTCGTATGCACCTGAACATGCGTCCACGCATTTATGTGTACGAGCCTGTATACATTAGGTATACGTATACGCCGTAGCTGTCTTGTATGCTTGTTGTGTATTTGCATATGTATGTACGTGGAAATGTCTGCGACATGCATGTGTATAATATGCTCCTGCACATGCATATGTGTTGAAACTGCACGGGTATGTACATGTGCATGTGTATATGTACACGTACATGTATGTGCAGATGTAGATGTACATTGTTGCAGATGCAGATGTACATCTGTCTGCCTACACAGATAGATAGGTGGATATATAGATGGATGGATGGAGAAATAATGAGACAGATAGCTACAATAGCAGAGATAGACAGATAGATAGATAAACAGATGGATAGATACATAAACAGACAGTGGTATAGACATTTGGTTCGAAAGACAGATAGACAGAAGAGGTGTGCGTCTGTGTCTGGTTGGCTTTATCCTCTCGATCCGGGCCTTCGCATGTGGCGGTCTACCTATCGCGTCTGCGTGAATCTGAACCTAGAGACCTCCAAGCCGTTCCAAGTGGCACGGGGGTCAGAACGCCGGGGACATTAATGAACCTAGACTCCAAGTGGTGGGATCCGAAAGGCAATACAAGGACCAGCCGAAGAACAGCCCGAAACAAACACAAAAATGTGTCTGACTCTGTCTGGTACTTGAAACTCTAAACCCTAAACCCGTTATAGAACTCTTATAGATCCCTTTAAGGAACCTTTAAAGGATCCCTTTAAAGGTTGCAAGCCCCACAGGCTCTCCTACCCCCGTCCTTGCTGGCCAGTCCCATTGTTTTTGAAGTTTCAGCGAACGAGCCTGGCAGGTTTCTGGTTCGGGTTTAGGGTTTAGGGTTTAGGGTTTAGGGTTTAGGGTTTAGGGTTTAGGGTTTAGGGTTTAAGGTTTAGGGTTTAGGGTTTAGGGGTTTAGTGGCTTCGAGATCTCGGGTTTTGGATTTAGCAGTTTGGCATTTTATGTTATCTAGGATGCCGAGTAACCTGGGAATAAAACGGGCTCCCTTTTCGGTATTGGGTAAATTGAAAGGGAACCTAAGACTACCAAAAGGGAATAAGGGTACTACTGGGGCATCCTAGTTATAGGTTGTTCTAAACCCTAACCCCTCGAGCTCAAGGCACGTGTTCCGACTCAGCCCCAGGTAGTGTGTCAGGAAGTTCCTACCACGAGGACACCATCACTGCATAACACAGGGAGTTTTGTGGGGATCACATCAGAGTATAATTCCTGGGGCTGTAAGGTAAAACTGTAGCACCGGATTTTGACAATCTGTTTGGTTGTTGGCTGGCTGTTCGTAAGCCTACCAGGCTTGATGGTGTCCGGCTTGGGGGTTGGGGTCGAGATTTCCCAGGGAGTATCAGATTTCAGTCAAGATGAAGACTCAGAGGACTTGAGTGTGCATGCATCCTGGTCAGGGTTACGGGGTGGCTGCGTCAAGCTATGCATCAGCACATTCTGAATGTGGTTGAGGCCCTGCAAACTCAACGTCTCCGGCATCTCGGTGTGTGTGGCATTAATCAACCGCGCTGCTAGATTGCTGACAGTCGCCTCGATGCGAGAGAAAGCCACGATGCGCGAGGTATGATATGTCAAGCGCTACGAACGCATTCAATTCCAAAACCCCGGACCCGCAATTCAAGGCTCTAAGCCGCACAACGCGTATGCCCCACCTTGAGGTCGTTCCAGCGTGGGCGTCGACAGCTGCTCTCTACTGAGGTAGGCTTAAGGAAAGCTTGGGAATGTCTGCCGGTCTGTGTGGCCACATCGTCAATGGCGCGCTGCATACTGTCCGTAGTGATAGTACGTAACCATGATAACAACAGCCATCCATTTGAAGCGAAACACACTTGACTTAGCAGCTTTTGGCCCCTGGATAGAAGTACTGAGAGTAGCAAGGCACGAAGTAGGCATTAAGCTGCAGCTGCTTTACGTCAACCCGCATGCACACAGCGCAAGAGCAGGAAACTTGTGGCAGAGTGGTTGCTGGACAAACTCCTCTGTGCCAGTTGCCCAATCAGTGCTGCAAAGTCTACACTGCCTGGAACTGCATCGAGGGCTTGGGATTTCGAGGTTGTAGCAGTCGCAGCCGCAGCTCAGTTACCAACTGTTCTAATCCCAAGAAAAGTGCTGAAAACCGGACTCACTGAGTCGCATGGTCCTTTAGGTGGTGGAGTGGTGGAATCACGCTCAGAGTTCGTTGTTGACGCCCCTCAGTCAGGACCTGATAAAGCAGCTGTGAAGACCGGACTCAACAGAGACTTAATGCTATCAATCCTCGTTATACTCTAGTTCTAGTTACAGCACTATATAGCCCAAAATCCTAGTCTAAACATTACGGGCTAATCCTGGCTTTAGAAGAAGTAGATGTTCAAGAGCGTGCGTGCGGAGTTCAACTTTCCTTTCCCAACGGATTAAGGTCCTCCCCAAGCATGAAACTAGCACGATGGAGCCCATCCCTCAACCCTACAGAAGGGTCGATCCTGGGGCCTGCGTTTGTGCAGAAGGAGTTTTTGGAGTTAACCCTAAAGCCCAAACTCCAGGCCCCCCTCTAGCCTAAACCCGAAAACGCATTCCCTAAACCCGAAACCGTGAACCCTTAAACCCTCAACCTCCCAGATCATGGAACTTCTACCTCCCTATTCCAGCGACCCAAAGCCCCGAAAGTTAAAGCCACCGAGCAGAAAAGTATCCGGGGCCTGGAGAATTACCCACATTATTTTGGAGTTTCTTAAGTAAAACTATCGAATCATGGGCCCCGAAACCCTATTCCAGTTGAACTATTTAGCCCCTATATGAAGTGAGACGCCCAGAGGCTTCCCTTCAGGTTTCTCGCAAGGGTTCCTTTAGAAGCTCTGTTTAAGGTCTCTCTAAGACTCTAAGGGTTCTAGTACGCGGTTGCCGTTTCGGGGCTAGGGCTTAAGAGTTGAGCCCTTTGGGTTTAGGGTTTAAGGGTTTCGGGTTTAGGCTTGAAGTTTACGGAGTCATGGACAGCACGCTGCCATCAAGTGAGGTGCTTGCTCTTATGTCGCACATTGTTACTTGCATGCTGCAGTTGGTCTGGCGGTCTTGCATCGCAAAACCTGAAAATCTGAAAACCCTAAGCCCTAAGCTTTCGACACTTGACTTTGTCATGTGTCAGAAAGCACTACGAACAAACTGTGCACTACGCCGTCTTCTTCAACAGTGCCGGGAGGTGATCTCCCGCGTCCACGTAGCTTGCTCCGTCGCCTTCGATTCCAAGCTGGTACTTGGCGACTGGGAAGTCGTTGACCTTTGTTTCAAAAGGCTTAGGGTTTAATGTAGCGACCTTAAGGGGTGGTCCAAAAAAAGGCTTAGGGTTTAATGTAGCGACCTTAAGAAATGGCCTAGAGGTTTGGTGTATCTTATACTCAAGTCGTACAGAGAAGGCCATCAGCTGCATTTGGCCGGGGATTCAGGGTCCAGGGTTCAGGCTTGCAGGGCTTAGAATCTGGGCCCAAAGATTAAGGGGTCTGGGGGATTGCGGAGCCTAGAGTACTTGGAGGATCATGGGACTTAGTAAGTACGGTTATAAGTACCTTAATTGGGGTTATAAGGAATTATAAGTATAGTTACATCATTATAACCCTGGTTACTAAGTCCCATGATCCTCTAAGTAGTTTAGGGTCTAGGAATCATGGGTTGGCTGGAGCGAAATTGGAGTGTTTGGTTCAGGATCGCGGACCTCGCCGTTGAAGGGGTCCGCCAACACTGCATTGACCAGCAAAATTGCGTTGTACAGAAGTGGGATAAAGAAGACCTGCACGAAGGATATGGCGTGGGGACTCTGAAACCGTACACCGTTCTCAAAATCACCTACACTTGTCCTTACAGCTCCATAAGTACAGTTATAGTTACAAAATTATAGACCCCCAAAACCCTATGACTATGACAGCCCTTACCCCAGTCCAAAACTACCACAACATGCATCTTGCTTACATCATTACGTCTCCAAAACCTCCCAAGGTAGGGGGCCTCAATAGTTAGGATAGCATTCCTTCGAACAATCTTATAAGGGTTATTGTGGAGGAAGAATACGGGCTTGGTAATGGTATGGGGCTTCAATAATGAGAACACGGCTTTGGTAACTATGCTCTATTACACCTATACTACACGAAAGAAACCTGCGGAACAATTACTAAAGAGGACTATTCAGGCTTCTATGTTACTAAACAGGCCGGACCCGAAGTGTGAGCGGCGCAGATTTGCAGAAGGCTCGAAACATTTGTCGACCTCTACGGCGGAAACGTCTCTCAGCTGACACCATAATCATGATTTCTTGACATTCCTACCCTGATGCACTAAGTGACTTAGACTAAGAACCCCATCCTGCACGCATCAAACCGACGGAAACCACACTGAGGATCCAAGCCTTCAAACCCCATAAACCCCAAACATTGACTCAATCCCGGCATCTCCGTGTCACTGACTGAGTAATCATGTGCCGCTAATCCATAAAACCCCTGAAGCCCCAAACCCCAATACTGAGTAATACAGATGCTCAAAGAGGCCCACGCGAGATCGGCCTTGATGCTGAGCAGGACCCGCGCAGACCAGCTTTCCTTCCGAGCAACTCCCCTTTCGGCAATTTCGGATGACGGCACTACTGACATTCAGCGTAGGAGTAGTCGTCGCCGTAGCCACGTGCCAGCATGGTGGTGATAATGACGATGATGACGATGATAAGGATGATGAGAATGGTGAGGATGGCGATGGTAGTGACGGTGGTGCTGGTGGTGGTGGTGATGGTGGTGATGGTGGTGATGTTGGTGATGGTGATGATGGTGGTGATGGTGGTGATGGTGGTGATGGGGGTGATGGGGGTGATGGAGGTGATGGTGGCGACGGGACGGTGGTGACGATGGTATCTATACGCCACTTGAACTCATAAGTCCATAAGTATGGTGACGAGGAAAAACACGGTAACGATTGTGTTCATGGTTACGGCGACTGTGGAGGCTGAGATGGCCCTAGTATGGCGAAGATGACGATGATGATGATGATGATGATGATGATGTCGATGATGACGATGACCATGGCGATGATGATAGCAAGGGTTCACCTCATGACTTGTCTGCCACTTATACTTCTACTCCTGCCCTTCTGTTGCAGCCGGGTCTGGACTCAAGGCTTGGGACTTTTTGGGTTCAGGACTCATGATCTCTCTGCAATGCGAAGAAGACGCTCAACATCCGGAAAAGCGGGATTCGGATCTCGGATCGCAGGGCTTCGGGTCTTCAGTCTGGGTATTGGGGCTCAGGGTCTGCCCCGTAAACCCCCTTAACACGAACCCTTAAATCACCCAAGCCCCCTAAATCCTAAACCCTAAATCACCCTAACCCCCTAAACCCTAAATCCTAAGTCACCCTAACGCCCTAAACCCTAAACCCTAATCAACCCCGAAACCAAACCCCTGAACCGAAGCTGTGGCCTGCCAGGAGCAGCCAAGCACGAAGCCCAAGGTAATGCCAAGGATGCCATTGTGGATCTTCACCAGGATACCCATCAAATGGATATACCTTTTGGCTGGACTTGTGATGACAATGGCAGCCATATGCCATGTACCAGTGTGATGCTTTATGCCACTTTCCTCATCATCACCAACTCCATCATCATACAACACGGTCACCACATTCAGTGAGCATCAGTGTCAGTAGTAACATTTGAAATCGTCGCCAAGGTTCAAAACGCACCTGCCGGTCACGACCGCTACAGCTTGAAGTATTACTATCGCCATCACCTCCAGTCTTCCTCCAACTACAGCTGCCACTGCGACTACCTCTGCTGCTACGACTACGACTACCACAATTACCACTACGGCTACAGCGTCTACGGATACGGCAGCGGCCACGACGACCACGACTACCTGCTCCTGCAGTAACTGATGAAGTCACCACCGCCACACACCACAGCCACCAGTCATCGAGACCGCCGCTACCACCACACCACCACCACCACCACCACCACAACACAACCAGCATGCCACTGCTCTGCTGCTGCTACTGCTACTCCTACTGCTGCTGCTTCTACCGCTGCCGCTGCCGCTGTTGCTGCTGCTACTGTGTCGGCCAGTGCATGACAAGGATGGTGGTGGTGATGGCGGTGGAATGGCAGACGTGGCAGTGAGTGACTGTGGAAAAGATCTATGAGATGGACAGCTTTGGCATAGGGACTGCAAGCACAAGTTAGGGACGCAAGCTCTGGCAGCCTTGCGTTGAGTCACTGGGTTTTGGCCCTTGCGCTGCAGGTCCACAGTTTCGGGTTGAAGGCTCATTCGCCTCAGGTTTGGAACTCGGGGGCTTTGCTTTTCATGATTCAGGATGCTGAGGGTTCCGGGCAGAAGCAGAATTGGTTTTCGATTGCAGCCCAGGTGGCGGCAACGGAATGGGTGTCCCCAACTGTGCGCCAATCAGGGCGGCACCACTCCGGCCCAAGTTGACTCGCTCCATGAGGAAGTTGAGCATCACCTCCATCCGGCTCTGAGAATCAGGGCATGTTCAGTAATGTAGGAACCTGATTAAGAAACCCTCGGTCCTTATTAGGGTTCCTTATATAAATCCTACTATTTTGTGGTCATAGGCCAGGGTTTCTTAATCAGGTTCCTACATTAAACAGAAAAGGAGAGTCACGCATATCGCCACACTGGTCGCCTGGAGCCTCACCTCCTCACGATCGCTAAGATCCTCACTGTCATTGTAAGTAGATCCCCTAATTTGGGGCCCTATTCTACTAAGGGTACTTTATAGGAACCCCCATTAAGGGATCTACTTTTTGGATCCTCCCGGGGGTCTGGGTTACGAAATACAGATCATCACCCTTGCATCATGATCATCTTCGTCTTCACTGCAATCATGTCATCGGGTTCACAGGCTTTTGGTACTTGCGATACGAGTAAGCATTGGGTTGTTCAATGGAGAGAGAGAGAGAGAGAGAGAGAAAGAGAAAGAGAGAGAGAAAGAGAGAAAGAAGCAATGACAGCGAGAGCTGTGGCGATACTGTTCAACCCAACACGGGAGATCACAGCATCTCGTGGTTCATCTACCCTGAACTCTAGACCCTGAACCCTGAAGCCTAAACACCCAAACCGAGCAAAGGCACCTATTGCCATCCGAAGGACATCAAGCCTTGAAGGCACTTAGAAGCTTACATGTAGATGTAGTGGGGGATATAACGCATGCTGAAGCCACCCGGCCCCTATGTGCCGGTCCCTAGTTTGGGGTGTAGGTTCCGTGTCGTTCAAGAGGGCGTCTTCACCCAGTTTCCATGGAGTGCTGCGGGATTCCCGATGAAGGGATTTAGGGTTCAGTCTACGGGGGGTCTAGGGGTTACTAGTTTATGGTCGGGATAGGATTAAAAGTTTACATTTGTATTCCTTATTAGGTTTTAAGTACCCAGAAAAATGCAAATGTTACCCAACTATGACAAAGGTTAGAGATTCTGGTTTAAAACTTCGGCCTCGCCCTTGATCTTGCCCTTCTTGTCGAGGTCTGCCACGATGTGTGCAATCCAGGTCCAGATGCTCTCGGCTAAGTTGTTGTTGTACTTTCGGAGCTGCTCCACCTTGCTACCGTCACTGCTCTTCTGAACTTAGAACCTCTAGCAAAACATTGCCATTTTAGCTGCTTTTTGAGGGATTGAAGGAACCGAAAACTAAAAGCTGCTTATCATTATAAGTACCCCTAAGACTTTGCTGTTAAGGCTTTAGGGGTCGGATCCGTGGAAAAGTCATCTTGGAGACCCCTCCTGAAGTAAAGAAGCTGCAGGACAAACAGGCCCGCCTCATCTTCTAAAAGGATACCGTCGGAGATGAGGATATCCAGCTTCTCTGAGAGCCTCTGGGCACCGTACCTCCTCTTCAGGAAGATGATGGTTAAAGAGGCGCGGGCATAGCGGCGAACGGCGTCCAAAATTTGTTTGTCCCGGGTAACGAACTGCGACAGGAACAAGCTCAACTGAGATGTTGCCGACCAGATGTTGCCGATGCCATCCTTGCGTGACAGAGGAGCTTCATCAAGGAACACCCATCCATACATATACATATACATATATATATATATATATATACACTATGTGTGTATATATATATATATGTGTGTGTGTGTGTTACATATTCTCTATATAGACTCTGAAACTGCAAGACTGTAAAATCCATATCAGAGGAACCCCAGTCAGATAGAACCCCCACTTCGAGATCGAAGGAGCTTGCTAAGCCTTGCCAACATGCTGCGAATGGTTAGAGCCGCCGTCACAATATCTGCAAACATGATGCTACAAGCGACGCGGAGATGATACCAAGACTGATGATAGAAGCCCTGATGTAGCAGTAATAGAGTACCACGAGTGAGTAGTGCAAGTACTCAGTGGTAATGGGCATGTATGAAGCATGAAAAGCGAGGACTATCACAAGTTGCACGGTGGGATCCTCAGCATCGCCTTTCCGGAACGTTGCTGCGCTTTCAGGATCTGAGAGAACTCAAGGAATCTGTATCTCAGTATTTAAGGTCTGAACTATGGGCAAAAGTGGGCTCCCTTGCCATTAAAATCCACACTTAGGGCTCCGGTCTTGCGGCAACCTTTCTTCGACTCCCGTGCAGCAGTCGAGTCCAGAATCTCTTACCGCCGCAGGTACATCAGCGTCTTGGGTTGGGGATTGTAACGGTTAGGGTTTTGGGATTCTGGGACGTCTGAAATTGATACTGCGATAGGACGACAGCTTGACCCACTCGCGAATTCATGCCCCTGGCACTCCTCCGAACTTTAGCACCCATTGGGCTTCTGAGCACTCCGCTTCTCCGGACAAAAGGTGTGACCATCAAAAGTCACCCTGAAGGTTGGGACTTACCTTTGGTTAGTAGGGAATGGAAGAATGGTAGTAATAGTAGTTATGATTGTACCCCATTCCTCCATTCCCTACTAACCAAAGGTAAGGGGAATCGCTCCTCGACCAAAAGCCCGCCAAGTTGACACAAGTCAAGCCACTGAAGGTCTGGATTTCTCGAAAGGCCCTAATTAACAAAAGTGTGACTTGGGGCGTAGGGTGTAGAGGAGGACAGATTTCTGTTTCAGAGGCATATATAACCTCAACGGCATGATCCGAGTGCCACTGCTGCCTGCTGCTATTGTCTTTGAAGATGGGAGGTTCGAAACATAGGGGGAAAAATCCTCAACCCCCCAAAAACAGCATAAAGCCGCTCTGGCGCAGTACGAAGTCTCCACCAGCGGCTCACTGTGAGGGAGGTGTAGAAACCAAGCCTCCGAAGCATTCCGATTTCGAGCCGTAAGGCTTACCTTAACCCTGAAGAACCCACCTTTTTAAGGACTTGGTAGGTTACTCAGGGTGAAGGTAGGGTTTAGGATTCCTAAAGTGGCCAAGGATCGAGATTTTGGACTGAAGTTTGGTTTAGGATGGCTCTGGGTCTGAAGCCTTGCAGTTACGGATCAGTTTGCGAGCTTGCTATAGACTTGCGGCCTCAGCTACGGCTTAGGGCTTTAGGGTTTAGGGTTTAGGGTTTAGGGTTTTGGACTTGGCTGTCGTTTTCCTTCGGCCTTGCGGCGTCCTGGGTGCTCGAAAGTACGCTTGCCTGTCCAAGCGCATCCTCCTACGATTCTAAACCTGAGGCCTTCAAAACCCTTAACATCCTGAAGCCCTGAATCCTAAAGCCCTTGCAAGCAAAACGAGTTACATACATTATAGATATACTTGTATATGTGTGCTTTATAGTGTGCGTGTCTGTGTGTGTGTGTATGAATATAAACTGCAAGGTGTATGTGTCTGTGCATAGATACGTGCATGTACATAAAAGATATAGATATATATATATATATATATATATATATATCCCGAAAAGCAAAATTGAATTTGCATCCGAGGAGCAGGAAAGCGGCCAAGGTCGCCATCTTGTCTGCCAGGCCGGTTGCGTCTTTCTGGACTTCCTGCTTGGGGCTTGGGGTTTGGCGCGTTGGGGTTTTAGGGTTTAGGGTTTAAGGTTTCGGCTGCAGGGTTTTACGGTTCAGCTTGTATGGCTTTAGGGTTTACAAGGGCTTAGGGCTTGGGGCTCTCTCCGAAAAGCAGCTCAAAATCAGCTCTTGGATGGTAGCATCCCCATGAGTGTAGGCTTCAAGACCTTTCAATTAATCTAGTGGCCTTAGTAGTTTGAACGAGGTTTATGGGCTACCGAAGTTGTGTTATCAGGGGAAACATGAAAACACTGTAGCAGTATATTCCTAATCATTCGGACCTCTATGTTACGCGTCTTTGCTTTGTTGTCCCTGACCTTAGGACTTGGGGTTGACGATCTCTTAGAAGTTGAAGATTGAAGGCTTAATACCGCGGTCGGAACACTTACGAATGGTGTCCCCTTTTCGTCCCCTGCTAGAGCTAGACTTGTGGTATACCGGACGGACGTCTACATGAGGGTCTATCCAAGTCTTGTGGGCTTCGGGATTCAGGGTGATTCTTTCGGAGGACTCGGCACTTGCTGGACACTGAAAACCTCAAACCCGGAACATGGGGCCTATGTGGGTGGTTGTCAAAATTCGGGTCCGTTTTTGGGTCCTCATAATACGGCACCTAATATTTGGGGTACCCAAAAATGGACCTTAATTTTGACAACTAGCCAGATGGGTTTCGGGTTTTACTACTTGAGCGTATTCAGACCTCAACTGAAGCAGCATCATCCCCAAGACGTGAGTCGCCTCGTCACGCATGTCGCCTCGATGGACGATAAATGCCGTAGCAACGTAGACACCTGCGGAAAGGCCCAAATACCTTTTTGTGGAGTAACTATAATTCAGTATCAAGGACGATATTATATACAGTTTCTATAGATCAATCAGATCAATCACAAACCCCTTCATGCAGACCGAAGATACCCAGTGAGAAGCTCTAAGCAGAAGATGCGCCCTAACCCTAACATCCCTAAACCCTAAACCGTGGTCCATCAGGAACCCAAGGACATCTTGAACTCTCGGAGTGGACTCTTAGCAAGCATTATGTTTGGACCCACGCTTGGGGTTGCCGTCTTACAGGTTCACGTTTGGGAGTTCAGGGCTTCAGGAATTAGGGTCTACCCTGAACCCTATATCCTAAATTTCGCAGCTGAAGGAAATCAGACCAGGATCCTCTCACATCCCGGTTTCGGGCTTTTAGGTTTGGGTGTATACCTTCACAGTCTCCGCATGTCGGAAGGCTGAAGGTTCGGCGCCGGAGCTGATCAAAGACACTATTGCAAAAGGGACGCATTGAAGGAAAAAGCATGATCTTGCAGAGAAAGCCATCTCCTTGTAGAGGCTCAGTGTCTTTTGGATGCTAGATGGAATGTAACCCTAAACCGTCAGGCGATCACGGGCTCTCAGAGCTTCAAGCTGGACAAAACCTCAAACTGTTGTCCCGCAAGAGGTTTAGGGTTTAGGGTTCAGGGGTTTTGGGCTTAGGGTTTAGGGTACCAGAACTCAAACATTGGTTGCATCAGGGTTTCGCAGGGGGGTTTGTAAGGATCGTTTAAAGCCCTAACTAACACACACACACACATACACACATACACATCTCTTCTTACTTGAGGCCTTGATGGTAGGATCTCTACGGCTTGGGTATGGGGTTTACTATTATAACTAGTATTACTACTATTACTACTAATTATTGTTACTATTATTGCTATTATTACTACTCTTACCTTTAATACTATTATGAATCAACTGCCTACATGAAGCCTCTTCCGCCCTGGGACCCTAAACGCAAAGGCGAGTGTCGCGCAAAGGAACACAAAACGGCTGAGCTGTGGTGAGCCAGAAATGTAGAATGTACCATAGGGGCCTTACTAATTAGAATAGGGTTTTGGGGCCCACTACCACCAAAATAGTGTTGGTAATTGTTTCGGCCCCTACACTAAAGTTCAGGCTTCGACTATGTGTGGAAAGCAACATGTCGGCGCGCCTTGACTTGGAATTTGGGGGTAATCAATACTCGCGAAGCTCTACACACTCAATCGTCCAAGCGCCTCCCAATCTCATGATGCTTTTTGGCTCAGTAAGGGTTTAGGATGGTGGGGCCTGCTGCAGTTCTCCCTTCCAAAGCTTCAGCCCAGGCCACGCCCGAAACGAAGTGAAGCAAAAGGCGCCTACCACTAAGAGCTGCTCCACCCAGAGGATGGCATTGCGGAAGACCGTGCCTGGATCAAAAGAACTTTCAGAATCTGGGAGCCCAGGGCCCAAGGACTCTGTTTTTCGTAAACCCAAACCCAGGGGTTTAGGGTTTAGGGTTTAGGGTTTAGGGTCGGTGGGTCTTCAAAGTTCTTTGACCGTACGCAGCAAGCCACCCTTCAGGCTGGAGGGGTTCCGCATACTGTTTTGGGGCCCAGTATACTATAATTAAAGTCAGGAACCCCCCAAATAGTATTGGTAATTATTTAGGGCCCTGTTTACTCTAAAATGGCAGCACCTTTTTTGGAGTTGCGGAAGTCGAGGGTTGGGGTGGTGTCCGGGCCGCGATTCGAGCGCAATTGCTCCGCAAATTATGATAGAACGCTTTCTGTAAGAAACATGTGAAGGTTTTAGTTGGAGCTGATAGGTGCCTCAATATCAGGCATATTGGTATTATCTTCATCATCATCATCACCATCATCATCATCATGACGCTGGTCATGGCCATCATCACAAAAAGAAGAATACAAATTACGAATGCTTACGAACCCTAAGGAATAGCGTATCTGTATAATCGTGCCGACCCCATATTCACTAGCGGCCGTCCTCTCCATGTAAGGAGCACCATGATGGTGGAAAGCCGCTCCGGATCATAATCCACCACATACCTGGATATAGGAGGTTGAGATACCCAGCTCTCTCCAACAGACCCACAAGACACCGACTTCGAGCTTCTTTGGACCTGGTGGCTCAGAGGCTTGAGGTTTGGGGCTGGCCACGAAAGCATCGTGGGCATGAGCCCGACGAAGTAGGGCTGCACCAAGTCACTGCCAAGATGCTTCCCAGCAGTCACGGCGGAGTCGGAAGCCTCATAAGCACTTGCCAGAAGATCTTGCTCAATGTCGGAATCCGATGTGTTCGGAGAAGCTGAGGGCATGGAGCTAAACTTGGCCAAGAGATGGCTCAAGCGCAGCACAACTTCTGCGAAGTCAGAGCCGAAGAAGCTGCGAGAAGAGTTTTAGGGGCCTCGACAATCAAAACATGGATTTAAGTGTATACGTTAACTAATAAGAAGTAGGAAGGGCATTGAATGGAGGTTTGGAGACTTCTTCGGATTTTCTATAAGAAAGTTCCCAATTTCTGTCCGGGCTCTAGGGTGTAGGATTTAGGGCTTAGGGTTTAGGGGGATTGCACCTGGGATAGGAAGGCCCTGCACAAGCGAAAAAGAAAGCCCTGTTTTAAACACTGGCAACAGATGAGATCGTCCCTAAACCCTAAACCCTAAACCCTAAACCCTAAACCCTAAACCCTAAACCATGCCACTGTCGGTTTCAGCCTGGGGCCCGAACCCTTAAAACCACGAAACAAAGGCCCGTACTAACAGGGCTTTCTGTTGGCTTCTGTCAGGTAAAACGACATCAACTTCAAAACTTCTGACAGACTGGATTTAGATCATATTTCTGGAGCACCATGTTCGAGCGCTGAGCTCCGGCACACAAGGAAGCTTAGCTTGAGGCATCGGGAAGAGTAGGGCGTGCGCTGGAGGCTTTAGATCTTCAAGGTATTGGCCACCCCAAAGCCCGAAGCCCTAAATCCAAAGCACCTCAAACATCGAAAACCCCAAACCCGAATCGAAGCGTCGAAAAAGCCCAAAGAAATCATTTTCAACTGGTCCAGATTGCAATTTAACCAAGCGGTCCATTGCTTCGCAAAGGAATCAGCCGATGCGTCGAAACGGTGGGGTCATCCCTAAGTACACCTTAGACCCTAAACCGCAACTGAACCCAGCAGGGTTGAGAGACGGGCTTTTGAACGGACTTAAAAGCATTAATGCTTTAGGCATTTCGGTGGGGCGTTGCAGGATTTAGAATTTTACGAGGGGTAACCATGGGTGTTGAGCTTTACGGTTTATTCATGTGTTTGGGGCTGACGGCATCTGATGCTTTTGGAGCTTAGGCTTGGGGCCTTTAGGGCGCATGGCGCCTAGGATTCACACTCGCCTGTTTAATGAGAGTGCTTCGGGTTATTGGTGCTTGGATGTGCTTGGCGCTCGTTGGGCTTGGGGTGTGGAGGGTGTCTGGATTTTGGGGCTCGGGGCTTCTTAGGGCCTGGGGGATTTGGTGTACAGTGCTGTTGGCTTTCAGGGTTCATGTTGTAGTTTAGGGTGCAGGGTGTTTAGGGCCTGGGACTTTAGGGTTTAAGGCTTCTAGAGCCTGTTTGGCTTTGTTTTAAGGCACTTACGGCCCAGGGCATTTAGGTTTTGGGGGTTCTGGGGCTTGCAGGGTTCTTGGGGTTGGGTTCTAAAACGTGGCAATCGGGTTCAGGGGTCGTTTAGGATGTGTAGGGATTTCGCAGCTTAGGACTCACGGCCATGTTGGTTCGTCGCTTTTGGAGCTCTAGTCAGGGCTTTGCTTATTGTGTGTTGGGCTGCTGGGCTTTGGGGCTAGGGCGCCTTAGAGCTTTAAGGGTAGCGGGTGTTTAAGTTTCCCGTCGTTAAAAGCGTTTACATGGAGGTTCATGGGTAGCTATATGTAGGCTTGCAATTAGGGGAACTATACATATTACCCATATCAGGGGACTTATAACCCCACTTATAACTACCCCTGAACCTCCAAGTAGGGTCTGGGCTTGGGAACCTTAAATGAGTTTGGTCTCAGAGTTCTCAGCGTCTAGGGGTTGTGGATTCCACTCTTTTTCCGATTCGGGCCAACCTGAACTGGGTAGGGTTCTGAACCAGAATGACCCAAGTCCGTCGAGCAACTTGAACTGCAGACGTGCCATGGCGATATGGCTTTCGGTTTCGGAGAAGCCCTCTAGAAAATGAGCAGAAGTGGATTTTAAGGTTTAGGGTTTAGGGTGTAGGCTGTTACAGTGAACACAATCATGACAAGGAGACTAGGAACAGACTGCAGGTAAGAAGTGTATTCCCTGCATTGACTGGGGCCGGGATGCCACTACTGCTTATTCTTCGACGTGTATGTGGCGTTCGGCTGATCGCTCCAGCAAACAGGACATTGTCAGCTGCCGAGACCGAAATTTCACTGAAATGACCAGCTGGCACGGCATTTTCTCGCCTCGCCCTTGCGAGGAACTGATATCTGACAGACGAAACTGCTGCATTTCTTGGCATGTTCACAACTTCACTGGGGCACCCTGAACCCTAGAATTGTAGGGTTTTGGGTTCTCATCGTACGCAGGATTTCTCCAGGTTAGGACACCTTGAGAGCGCCCTGAAACATCCTGAAACTTAGAACCCGAAACCTGAAACCCCAATGCAGTAGTGAACACACCCAGGGCTCGGAGGAACCCACATGCACTCCTCGTGCGGCAGCAGTTCAGGCCGCTAATTTAGGTCTCAACCATGGCTCGAAGGGAATCCGAGTTTGGGGTTAGGGTTTAGGGTTTAGGGTTTAGGGTTTAGGATTTAGGGTTTAGGGTTTAGGGTTTAGGGTTTAGGGTTTAGGGTTTGGGGTTTAGAGGCCACAGCCTGGAAGTTACTCATTTTCATCCTTGCAATGACATCCTCTCAAGAGGCGAAACTCTTGCAACCACAAAAAAGACTTTGGCTTGGAGCATCCCTCAACGCCGGCATCGAAATGCCATTCGCAAACACCCATTGATTCAACATGCTTACAAGCCTACACATCTGAACCATTCCACCTTGTGGTGGGGAAAAATGGGGTGTAAAACTTGCAATCTTAGAACACGCGGCACTCTACACGCTGAACGTGGTTCCTGCAAACGATTTGTTGTAGGATGCCTTCAAGAGCTCGTTGGCGACGTCCTGCATCAACTCTGTAGCTTAGGGGCCTTCCTGAATAGTCATGAATAGGTAGCTGGTAAGACCATGAATGGAAATCAAGTGCGGTCAAGTGGTTCCCAAGCTATCACCGAGAGGGCACATCGAGCCAAAAACGAACTTCCTTGACAACTGCTGACCCGCTGAACAAGCACGGAAATACCTGTAACTCTTAATCCAGAAACCAGAAAGCCCCTGAAACAGAACATCTCCGTACTCGGCTGGCTGGTGCTTGAAGATGCAAAACATCCTTCCATTCCCCATGCCGTCATCAATGCTGCTACAAAAGACCTTGTTCGAATTACTGCAGTCGGCTTGGGGGAAGCGCTTATAACTAGAATAGGGTTAAGGAATAATTCGTAATTATTCTGGCTGTTTCAGTCGTGCGTGTGATAAACCCTCGGCCCTAAAACCTTGAAGCCCTAACCCCAAACCCAAAACCCCACAGCTAAACCTGATATTGTCCTGGTGATTGTGCTTTCGGGCCATCTCAATAGGCGTGAGCCTCAATCGGAGCATTACACGTGCGTCGGTCATCATGGGGCTAGGGTTCGTAGTTGAAGGTTCAGCCGATACCTTGAAGCCCAAGGTGTAAGGGTAAGTGGGTATTCAGGTCTTCTGGGATCCTCGGTTGATCTTCGCGGCGTTGAACCCATGAGTTCTGCAGTGGTACAAGGGGGTTATAGAGAAATCCTGACTAAATATAGGGGCCTTCTTATCAGAGCAATGTTTTGGCGTCGATGATACTATACAAAAACAAGGAACTCTAGGAATCACATTGGTGATTATGGAGTCCCTAAACCCTAAACCCATATTATGGTCTTCCCCGGGTCAAGGATGTTGCAGTCTCTTCCCGGAAGGCGACAGGATGGGTGCCCTTTTGACCCCGGCGATAGTACTTGGAGGCCCAGGGGGCTTAGTAAGTAGGTTATAAGTAGGGTTATAATTGGGGTAACTCCATTTAGGGTACTTATAACCCCACTTATAACCTATTTACGAAGTCCCCTGGGCCTCTAAGTAGAAGTCAGTTTGAAGTGACAGCTGAAGCCCTACACGCGGTTTAGGACTGCCGGGCTAAAGGGCCAGAGTTGCGGGGTACGATGACCCTGAGGGTCCACGGTTAAGGGTTTAGGGTTTAGGGTTGTATACATTGGCCTTAAAGTACTCCCTATGTGGGTACATTGGGCTCAAAGTATATAAATTTTGGATACATGGACCCTTTGGGTGATAGACTGATAGAAACCTCACCAAAGACCTGTAGAGGTCCCCTGTGAACAGTTCTCGAAGTAGTCAATCCCAAGTTCTTGAACCTGGGGGTGGCCAAGTGGCCCATCTGCCCCACACTTAGAGTGGAGATCTGCTTCGGCATCCAGCAAGCACTGCGCCACCTCTGTCGAGAAGTCTCAGCTTGAAAGCATTTGGGCCGTTCAAGCTTACCTTGACCCCCAAGGCCCTACCTTTTTGCGGAGCTATGTACGGGACTCATGATCAGGACCCCTCCAAGATCCCTAAACCCTAAACCCCTAAACCCTAAACCCGATGGGTGTTTTGGGGTGGTTAAGGCAGAGGTTTCGGGGAGGGGGCGTTCCGCTGACTGGGTCGCCACTCTTGGGTTATTGAGTTAGGGGTATAAAACATGCGGACATGCGTGCGCAAAAAGAGACGGGATCTACCTGTCGACGTGTCTCGTCTATGCTTCCAGACCGACTTGCAGCAGAGGGCCAAGGGTGTTCAAGAAGCTAGCGAGCAACACATCCAAGCTACACGCAGAGTCAAACTTCCCGGTAGACAAACCGGCCGTCAGAGTACAAGGAACCATGTTCCCCGGCACCCGCTCTTTTGCTCGTGAAGTATCGCTCCCTAGCCACCCTGACGCCCCTACCGCACCAAATCGTGCACGGAAGGCCTCCTCCCCTGAAATCCTAGAACAACACACTACAACCCCAAACCCCAAAACATGAACCTGAATCCCTGTAGGCCTGGTTTAGGCCTGAAAAGACGAAGGATCGCCCCACAACTCTGAAACTTAATGCAGGCTGAAACCCTACAGAAGCCCTTAAGACAACCTACAAAACAACGCGGTAAAAACATCCACAAGACCTTTATGCCTTACAAGCCCCGATACAAAAAGAAATTGC